TGCAGCAGCAAAGAGAGCAGCTGCTGCTCGTTGCCCTCTTGTGCGTCTCCAGTCTGATGCGGTGCTGCTGACGAGGCAGCAGAAACCCTCTTAATTGCTGCGTCAATGAAGCTGCTCCAAGGAGGCGAAGAACGCACGCTGCTCAGGAGAAGACTCAGTGGCTGCACCTCTTGCTGCTGCTGCTGCTGCTGCTGCTGCTGCTGCTGCTGCTGCTGCTGCTGCTGCTGCAGCTGCTGCTGCTGCTGCTGCAGCTGCTGCTGCTGCTGCTGCTGGGTAGGCCAAAAGGATTGCTGCCGCTCTGCAGCAAATGCAGCGTCCTGCAACAGCGCCTGCTGCAGCTGGCGCTCATCGCAGGCTTCCTGCTGCCGCTCCTGCTGCTGCTGCTGCTGCTGTTCCCCGTGCTGCTGCTGCTGGCCGGATGTCTGCTGCGGTGGCTGCTGTTGGGTTGTGTGTTGCTGGAGCTGCGCAACGCTGAAGCCCTGTTGCTGCTGCTGTTGCTGCTGCCGCTGCTGCTGCTGCTGCTGCTGGAGCAATCTGAGCTGCTCGCCACCTAGCTGGGGTTGTTGAAGATGCATATCCTGCTGCTGCTGCTGCTGCTGCTGCTGCTGCTGGATTTGCTGCTGCGGCTTCTCACCCATCAAAAGCTGCCGCCACTGCTGCGGCTGCTGCTGTAGCATCTGCTGCTGCTGCAGCTGCTGCAGCTGCTGCAGCTGCTGCTGCTTCGTCTGCCCCTCAGTTGTTCCGGGTGTCACTGCAGCAGACAGATAGTTTGCTTCGGCCTCTAGCTGCTGTGTTTTCCCTTGCTGCTGCAGTTGCTGCTGCTGCAGCTTATTCTGCTGCTGCCGTTGCTGCTCTTGCTCCTCCTGCTGCTGCAAAGCCTGCTGCTGCTGCTGCTGCTGCTGCTCCTGCTGCTGCCACGAGCTGCCTGCAGCAGCTGCGAGCGGACTTATGACTCCAACGGCATCGTCGCTGTTGCTGTTGCTGCTGCTGCTGCTGAAGCTGCTGCTGCTGCTGAGGCTGTTTCTGCTGGTGAAGCTGCTGCTGCTGCAGCTGTCCCCTGGCATGTTGCTGCTTGTGCTGCTCTTGCTAAACGAGCCCCCAACTGCATGCTGCTTAAAAGGCTCTTGCTGCTGCTGCTGCTGCTGCTGCTGCTGCAGTTGCTGCAGTTGCTGCTGCTGGTCATTCTGCTGCTGCTTCTCCTGCCCTTGAATCCCTAATGCCTGCTGCAGCATCACCGCCCTGTGCTGCTGAATCTGCTGCAGCTGCTGCGCCACTCCACGCGGTTGTGCTTGCCGCAGCAGCTGCTGCTGCTGTTGCTGCTGCTGCTGCTCGCGCTGCTGCTGCTGCTGCTGAAGCTGCAGCGCTTCTGCATCCTCTGAAGGATGGGCCGAGCCCCATGAGATGACGAAGCTGTCACCTTCTGCTTCTGCTGCTTCTGCTGCTGTTGCTGCTGCTGCTGCTGCTGCTGCTGCTGCATTGTGCTGTTCAAATGCAGCAGCAGCAGCAGCAGCAACAGCTAGAGCTGTGCTGCCATTCGATGCTCCACGACGCAGTTGCTGCTGCGCTTGCTGCAGCAGCCCAGCAGCAGCCCCCATGAACCCTTCTTGCTGCTGCTGTTGCTGCTGCTGTTCCTGCTGCTGCTGCTGCTCATCTGCAGCAGACGGCAACTCCACGTCGAGGTCTACGTTGGATGGCGGCAGCTGGTTGCTGCTGCTGCTGC